CTGACCTTAAGGTTCGCAGCACGATTCGTAACCACTACGCTACCAGAGCTCCTTTTGGAAACCCTATACAGGGTTACTATTGGTCGGAAACAACTAGGCAGCACTTAACAACAACACACCTTGACCCAAGTCATAATAAAAAGTTTTAAAAAGCAAAAATGAAAATAAAAAATGAAGGCAATGATTGATGCAAAATACAAATATCTGACAGAACAAATCTTTGATAAACATATTATTGTTGTTGTTAAACTAAACAAGGACAACTATCCCTAGGAGGTATAGTTTTAATGCACTATGTGCATTAACCACAAGGACACTGTAAAGGTGTCCCATTGAAAAATGACTTTCCCACCTATTTGCTATTGCCAGTATTTCCTTTAGCAAGAAACAGAATTTTTCATGCCACAACTAAAGATAAAGTTTAAAATGTAAAACACTCCAGGGAAACAGAATTCATCTCTTACATTTTCTCCAATCCTCTCCGAAGGAGGAGTTTTAGAAGGAGTCATCTGGCCAGAATCTCTGAAGGTCTTGAGGAGGGCAGAGACAGGTCTTGGAGAGAATGGTGTGTCAAAGAATAGGGTCGGAAAATTGACGAGGAACTTTAGTTTTGAATACATTTCCAAATACATTATTCTCATGGCAAAAGCACAGTGGTTTAATTGTTTTGTTTGTTTTCTCATGCTACATACCCCGCCTCCCCCAGCCTCCCAATGTTGCAAATGATAACATAACACAAGAACATGAAGGTGAAGGTTACAGTTAGGACATATTTCATTGCCTCTAACCCACCCACTTACTTTCCTACAGGTTGCCAGTTATTCAGAAACTGGGCAAGAGAAATTACATAAATAAGAACTCTCTACTTTATCAGCTATGGTTGAGGATAGAACCATACAATGGTTCAGCCTACGATGCCCTGAAATTACCCTCAGTTCCAAAGATCCTTAACTAGAAAATGATTTTGAAACAAGGTAATCATGGCATGGAGTTTCAAGTTGAACTGTTGATGCTGTTGTTAAGATGCTGTTGCAGTTCAATCTGACACTGTCCAGCATGTTACGCCACAGCACCACACCAGAACTAGGGATGCCTGAAATCAAAGAGAGCACACTCTCTGATCCCTTCTTTCTAAACTCACACAGTTAATGAAGTGGTTAAGAAGGGGACTCTACAGTTCAAATCTTGGCTCTGTCCTTTGCT